AGAAAAGAATAATGGGACGCACCACAAATATAATGACATTTTCAAGAGTAAAGACTTTTATAAAAAGCTGTAGAGAACACTAAACAGCTCTTAATCTTCCCAGAACAAGCTCTCCTCAAAAACTGAGTATATGGTGAGGTGGGCAGTTTTGTGTGAGGACACCAAGATGCCCACAGACTGACCAGGGACAACCTCCACAGTGGAACAGTGGGCCAGGAACTTCATTACTTCACAGCTTATAACGGAGCATTAAGAACAACGTTATTCAAAGAAACTCACCAATGCATTTAGCAAGATTTTTGCACAAGACATGGAGACTCTGAGATATATCAGTGGAGGAAGGCTTCCTAGTCTCATGAGACCTAATCTGAGCTTCTTGGACTTTTTGGGGTGGGATTGTGTCCTCAGTGAAGGTGGTCATGTGGAAGGTGGGTAGGTAGGATGTTGATGATTTATTATATACTCTCTTGTCATTGTATCTTATAGTTTTTATACACTCTATTACATCACATTTATCCTGGAAGCATGTAATTCATGCCAGAGCTGTTAAATAAGAGAGTTACGACACTCTTTGATCTCACTGCCACTGCGGTCACTTTCTCCATGCAGCTCTCAGTAGTTCCTAACCATCCGCGCTGTCAACCACTTTGAATGGTTTCAGGCACGACAGACTCCAGCACCAACTATATTTTCAACAGTTTTCGGATAAATATTAAGGCATAATGTGTATTGATTACTATCCCGACTTACATATGATAGCATTTCTTCTGGGGAGTCGCGGAAGCAGTATTATTGGTTTTTGTGTTTAATTTTAGAGGGAAGAGGTGTAACGTTACAACGCATTAACAACAGACCTTATTTGCAGTAATTTTCGTATAATATGCATTGATTACTACGTTAACAGTACTTACAGTAGTGAATTTTTTCTCTGAAGACGCATTCACATAAACATTCCCAACAAGTAAATATCAATAAAAAACTGAAACTCAATTTAAGTCAAGAAAGAAGTTTGATCAATAGTGTAAAATATATAAAGCAACCAGTTGCATACAACAGAATACAAAGTGAGGTTGTTTTTGGTAAGTCATTCCACTGTCAAAAGCAGACCATGTCATAGAGACTCGAGCCTGGTGCTGCTGGAAAGAACAGGAAGAAGAAAGATGAAATATTATAATATAAATAATAATTATAATATTCATGGAAAACCAATGTTTCCTAAAAATTTTCATGAGGTTGAGATTACAGGAGTGAGAGTACACACCTACAGTTAGGTCCAGTTGTATCTAGCATGATTTTGGTTATTTGGTTCTGCTCCAGTAAAGAATTTGATATTAAGTAACTAAAAACTTTTTTCATGTTATTTCAGTGGACTAAAAGTTGTCGGACAAGTTCCTATACACCATAATAAAATGGTCATATTTAGTACTACTACTTTGTTGCAGATTCTTTGAATTTGATGACCAAATAATAAATACCATAAGGGGGATCAAGTGTGTACACATCCAGGTAAAAATATTCAGGTGAAAAGTATTATCGCTGCAAGGCAAAAAAGGAAGAAAGTCTGCACACTTTTAGGTTGCAAATAATTCTATATGTTAATTCTCTGTATTTTAAGGCAACATTGCAATTAATAATCAAGATTTGAAGGAGAACACTTTTCTCAAATAAGAACGTATGCTTTTGTGGGTCATCACTGTTGAGATTTGCAGTAGTTTAGGTGGCAGGCTAGCCCAGTGGTTTGGGTGACCCCACTTAACCACACATCCCAGAGGAGCAACAGGGAAAGCCTTGACTTGTGTCTGCAGTGGTAATGTAATAAGTACACCAGCTCAGCCATGAATTCTGCCTTTATGTTGCCTATACTTTTCAGGATTTGTTTACACCGTCATAGACACCGTTTTAATTCACTTACATGTTTTATCACTGCGGTCATAATTGGTGATGTTGGTGTTGTACTGAGCTGCATTATATTAAGAGGAGTTTATGATATTCTGGCTCTGTCATGTACAGTATGTAAATAGGGAGGACAAACAAATCCTCATATACAACACAATATAGTTCAGTTAAACACCCCCTTTAATTATAACCTCGGTATTAAGCATTTAATTAAATGTACATATTTATGCTCATAGGTGTAAATTTAATTAAATAATGGCACAGCTGTTGTATTCAACTGCATTACATTGTACAGGGGCACCTAATAAGGCCACTAAGGGCACGGTGCGAACTAGGGGGGAGCCAGGGGGAGCTAAGCTCCCCTTAATGAGACATCAGCTCCCCTACAAACATGACTTGTGATATTTTGGGGGGTCTCTAAAATTTTGACAGCATGCTTTATTACCATTAATTTCTATATTTCTCTATAATCATGGATCCATGCGTAAAATCAGGAGCGCCAGACTTCATCCAGCCAGAGGAGAACGATCACCGACCGTCTGCAGCGGGCCGGTAGCTCCGCAATCTCCTGTCCCTGGCCCTGTACGCTCCATTGCCCCACTCCCTCTCCGGTATGGGTTGTGTCGCTAGTATGACCGACACGATGTGAACGGTTTGTGATCGTTCCCCCTGGCTGGATGAATATTACGCGTGATCCATGCACTATTTTGACTGGGGGCTCTCCGCAGAGCCACGCAACTTCCCTCTCACGGAGAAAAGAAAGGTCAGGTCGTAAACATAGCCGCAGCTGTGGTGTGAAGCGTAATTGCATAGCAAAATGGCTACATATGATGGGGCAATGGGTCGGCCGCCCCCATGCACCCACGCTACCTCTGCTTATGAGGATGATATTACTGTAGTTGATTCATATAAACTGGAACCAAATTTCAATTTGTTTGGCAGCAATTTTTCATTTGGGGGAAGACAATATCCTGCAGCAAACTGACAAAATGACTAACATATTAAGCATAACCACTCATCCAAGGCTTCAAATATTTCCCATCAGAATTCTGTGAGTGACCACCTATGCTAGGTCCATGTTTTTTCCAAAGTACACAGACATCCAGGAGATAATACTTTCTCTGTGATTTCTCCATATTAAAGTGCATGAGACATTTATGAAATTTTATTAAGCAACTATATTGAAAACTGCGCAGTTATGACGGTGCTGTATCTGCTACTAAATAAAACCCCCAAAACAAATAAGGTTCTGGCAGTGAGAATTAATTAAAGCCATAGTTATGGCAAAATAAAAGCAGATATTATTTGACAACAAGACCTCCAAACCCATTTTATCCATTTGATTTCTGAGGACAAAGTGGAAAAATAACTGTTGACTGACTTCATTTATTCAGTATTATTGAGCCAAAGACCAAAGACAGTATACAGTCCTAAATGTGACTATATTATCTTTGTTTCCACATTTACTTAAACAGATCAGGCATTATCTTGATCGTTGCTCCCTTTGATAATACTAAAAGCAATAAATCAAATTGGCACTTTCTTAGACTAAAGTATATATATATATATATATATATATATATATATATATATACTGAAGTTTAGAATGAAAAACACAGACTTCAGTCGGTATCAGGTCTTCCTCCTGTCCTCTGTCCTCCTCCCTCTGCTGCTGTTGTGAGTCTCTGCCTGTATTCCAATATCCATAGTACCGTACAATTGTACAAACTACTGTGGAGTCTTTGTTCTGAAACCTAGTTATCAAGCTTAATTTATCGTCTCCAGCTCCGATCTGCAGTGACCTAAACTTGACACCCAGGTGGACACATTGGTTTTCATCCTTTTCTAACGTGACTATTTCTGTTTCAATCTGTGAATGTCTATAAACATCCATATGCTTATGTAGTATTAGCATGCTAGGCTAACAGCCAGTCAGTTGTGACTTTATATCCACACTGGCACATCTTTCAGAGCACATAAACTCTGTAAACACAATTGTCCCCTGTCCAGCATGGAGTTATTAACCAGAAACACAGTGGGTACACCTTATTTTTTATAGTCTATGCGCAACCACCGTAACATTGTCACTGGCATCTACGCCTTTTCCTACTGTTTAGTAACCCTGTTTTCCGGTGGGGTCTTGACCTTAAATGAGACACACAGAAAAGGCAAACTGGTCTACTGGCAATGTGAAAGGAGTCAATTGCCTATTTTAAGCGTGAACCAGCATATACATGCTAATTTGGGTATAATGGGGTATATTGCTTTTCTTGACACTTAATGCCATATGCTGAATTTCCTTTTTAATGTTTTAATGCATTTTGTAAAGCACTTGAATGTGAAATGTGTTCTACAAATCCTATTTAGCATTTTGTTCACAATAAAAACATGTACAAAAATGTGTCAACCAGCAAATGGAAGAGACTCGGTGGCAGAGGGGTCACTCTGTATCCTCAAGGGGATCATGTTGACATGATGAGAAATGCAGAAGGCCAAATTTATGTGTTTTTTGTGTTTAACAGCGTAGACTGAATGCCTCTTCAGGGTCAGGGGCCCAGCTGTGCCGCATCCTGTCAGGAGCCCCATCTCTTCAGCAGCACCCTGGTGTGGCAGAAATGTTTCCTGGGACTCTCATTATGCGAATTGGCAGAAAGAGGGAGCTTGTTACTGTCATGAGGAGGAGGACAACTCTATAAATAGCTGTTTAAAAAAAGCCTTAGGCTCTGGTTATGACAAGCATAACACTGAGGTATTTGCTATAATGCATCATGATCAGCTTAAAGGCTCACAGGCATACACCTATACTGTCATATGTGTCCACATGAACAAGCCAACACATCAAAAAACCCAAAACAAAGATAAATTATAGTTGTCACAAGCAGAGATTCAACTTGTTATTTTGTGTAATAAAATGTGTATAATTCTGACATTATACCACTTTGAGGAGTTATTTGTAAACCTTTGCTATTCCTGCTTTATCTCAACAATGACATCAGCCAATGCCTTGCCAGAAATAATCATTTAAAGGGTGAGTGGTGTTGTCAGTTTCTAAGCAACAAATACACACAAATGCACACATACACCTGCGTCATTTCCTATACACAGAGGATCTGAGAGCATCCAATTCAGCGCTCCCTGACAGTTGTGCACAGGGAAGGCGCCGTCGTAGAAACCGGACAGCTGGAGTTGTTGTTCAGTATTAATAATACACGTGGCTAAGGATAAATGTTATTATAGGGTACCGTTTTATGATTTACAACGACAGAGAGAGCATTCCAGGGAATTTTAATCTGCCGGGTTTCAGATATTACACCGGACACTATTTGAATCGCTAAGTCTCGTCCCAGTGATGGCAGCGGAAGAGCTTTTGTTGTGCATGGAATAAAACAACTACAGGGCAGAGAGAACCTTTAGGCATTTAGTGCAAGAAGAATAAGAACATCGACTGGGGAAATGGTTTGTTTCTGGAAGACATGCTGTGTGCATCAGCACCATTACGCGCGTAGATCACCGGTCACCTGTTGAAGTTGCGTGGTGAGCTGGTTCAGGTTTTGCTTTCAAACGGGAGGATCGACTTGAACAGCTCTTTAACAAATGCCCGACCCGTCCACCGGTCTGTATGATGCACTGATTCCCCGTTATGTTGTAGGATGAGCGCTGATCTGGAGAGCGTTTCGCTCAACACATCGGCAAACTCGGCCGGCTCGGGGGTGCGTGCGCTCTCGGCAAACGTTCGGAGGCTCCACAACGCTCTCAACCTGCTGCTTAGCGACCTGGAGAGAGAGCAGTTTATCCACTGTCTTAATGTGTACCACGCCAAGCGCAACGTCTTCGACCTGGTCCAAACTCTCAAAGTGATTCTCAACTCGCCCGACAAACGACAGCTGCTGCCCATGCTGCGCCTGGTCATCCCGAGGTCCGACCAGCTGCTGTTCGACCAGTACACGTCCGAGGGACTCTACCTGAAGACATACCTCCTCCCCAGCAACTGTAGCGCGGAGGGTTTTGGAGACGAGGGCGACTCAACTCTGCAGAAATATGTCAGTTCCATTCAGGAGCAGCCCCTCTCTTCGGGCTATCCGGGTGTCAGCGCAGCGGCGGAGCCGTCGGCTTCCATGGCCCCGCCATTCTTCGAGGGTCCCTTTGGAGAAGTGCGCAAAGTCACCCTGACGCGCTCTAGGAGCCACGAGGGTCTAGGCTTCAGCATCCGCGGCGGGTCGGAGCATGGCGTGGGGATCTACGTGTCCCTAGTGGAGCCTGGCTCGTCGGCCGAGAGAGAGGGACTCAGGGTCGGGGACCAGATAGTGGCCGTTAACGACATGATGTTTGACAATGTCACTCACATAGATGCAGTGAAGGTAGGATTTCATGCATGTGTGTGAGTGCGGGAGTTTGAGCGGTGTGTGTGTGTGTGTGTGTGTGTGCGTGTGTATTCCAGAGGCTAAACAGTGTATGATTCAGGCAGAGAGAACATGCATTCCCACAGAAGCACACAGTGCTTTGCAGTGCTGCAGCACTAGTTTGTGACTGTGCTGCTTCCTAAGGGGCCCTCAGATCCCATTGGAAGCTGCCTCCAGTCCAGCTACTTTTTATTAATTCTTACTGGCACAATGACCCAAGATAAACTCAAATGTTCAAAATCAGATGGAATAAAGGCATTTTCTCTTGTTAAAAAGAAAAAATAACATTGAGTTGTTTCAAGCAGTTGTATCCTATGTTAGTGTTGTTTGTTGTATGTCACAGACACCAGGGGTCTTTGATGTGATTTATTCCTAGGGGACAACATGGGGAGGCTTCATGAATTAGAATTAACTGATAACATAATTACTAGTAACTAATTGCACATTTTTGCCATTGAAATCTATGGGGCTCTGAAGTTCACATCTCACCTTTTCATTAGTTACTAACTATTCATATACTTACTAGTAACCATTTCCATTCACTATTCACTATTATTTAGCTACTAGTGCAACTAGTTGTAAGGAACAGTGCATGGGCAGTGCAGATAGTAGAGTAGGTTATAGGTTACAGTAACCTACATTAGTCAGTATTCTACTTTCTGTATTGGAGTTACAAGTGAATTACTTGTTGGAAATGCTTCCTCTGTAGAAAGCATACCTAAAAACTTAGGCAAATAAGATAAACATAAATTATGTGGTCATATCAGAAGTGGCAGGGTGACATTTACATGCACATTGGTGCAAAATGGGGCAGGAGATAAAATAATATGCACAGTGCTGTAAACATAAGCCAGAGTCCTAGCACATTAACCAGCTCATTCCAGAAGCTGAGAGTATACAGTACATCTTTTAGCAAATACTTTAGTTTTGCCACCCACTGTCACTGTCCTTGCACTCACAGTCAGGTTTATTTCACAACGCTCTGCCGTTTTAAAAGACATGTTTCAGGATCTGACGTGTGTGTGTGTGTGTGTAAAAAAGCATCCACATTCTGTTATAACATCCCCAGACTCTGTGATGCTGATTCACAGGGACCAAAAACTGTTCACCTGCTCCACCTCAGATCCACTGATGTAGACAGGAGTGTGTGTTTTATCTCCTTTGGTGTGTCCACCAATCCGAACTGTCTGCGTCTGTTTGTGAGGAAGTCCAATATCCACTTGCAGAGTGTGGTACTTAAGATTTGCGATTGAGATATGGTGACTGTGAAAGCCATTGGAGTACATTGTCATGTTCAAGAAACCAGTTTGAGATGATTTGAGCTCTGTGACATGATGCATTATCCTGCTGGAAGTAGCCATCAGAAGATGGGTACACTGTGGTCATAAAGGGATGGACATGGTCAGCAACAATACTCTGGCAGGCTGTCGTGTCTAAACGATGCTCAACTGGTACTACTACTGGTACCCAAAGTGTGCCAAGAAAATATCCCCACACCATTACACCACCACCACTAGCCTGAACCGTTGATACAAGCGGGATGGATCCATGCTTTCATGTTGTTTATGCCAAATTCTGACCCTACCATCTGAATGTTGCAGCTGAAATCGAGACTCATCAAACCAGGAAATGTTTTTACCATCTTCTGTTCTCTACTGTTCTTAGCTGACAGGAGTGGCACCCAGTGTGGTCTTCTGCTGTTGTAGCACATCTGCTTCAAAGATCAACGTGTTCAAAGATGGTATTCTGCATACCTTGGTTGTAACGAGTGGTTATTTTAGTTACTGTTTACTTTTGCTTCTTATGTTTAACAGTGTTTGACACATGGAATCAGTTACTGCTGTGATAGGACAATGTATATTTCTCAAGGTTTATGCAGTGACCCTTTAAAACCGCATCAACAGTCTATTATGCTGCAACTCTACTGTGCTTCTAGTATTTGTTACTAATATCCGGAAGCTCTCGAGAGGCTTGGCAATCCTGCATTGCTGTAAATTGCTAAATTAGTGTAAAAGCTATTTCATAGCATTCACACTAATTACGTGACTCATTGAACGACACCCCTGGTACCGGGGGCAGCATGTGATTTTTGCCTCAAAATGCCAGTGGGAAGTCCATGGACGATCCTAGTATTTTGTCACCCCACCCATGCTATACACCTCTCTGAAGCTAGGAGGCTTAGCTAGAAGCTCAAAGAAACCATTTTTATCCACACCAAACACACATCAAACACCAAGCATCTAAATGAACTTATATAACAACATAAATCGCTCTGTAATCCCTGTACATGGCTGCAGTTATTGCCTTCCAGATTTCTTTCATCTCATCCTACACCACAGTCCGATCACTCTAAAGAAAGCTCAGCTCCAGCTCAGATCAGCTGTGTAACTCATATCACTCAAATCACAAAACTCACAGAGTCGGATAATAATAACAAAATTCGCACCAATATACATGTACAGTTACAACCGATGACTTAGTTTTGACGTTTTCGCTGTTTTCAGTCCAAAAACAGCTGTTTTCTGTGTGTATAAAGATCGCCACGGGCTGCCATCTTGGTATTGTGCAATAGCTGAGCTCCTAGGTTTAATTTCTCTCATCAAAATGAAGGGGAGAAGAACTGTTGCTTTGGAACAGACGGTCTTTATTGTTGTCTACTGGCTGACTCATAGGAGCTACACAGACCTCCAATATATCAAACGATTTGTCTGCTCAAGACTAAAAGAAAGAGCCCACTTACAGTAGGATTTTCTGTTCTCAAGTTGTGGGCCAGTAAAGCATGGGAGTGCTTTTGGTCACAGGAATATAATTACAGTGTATAAAATCAGGGTACGAAACAACTGGAAACAAAGATTGAGAAATAGTGATCACGTGGGATATGCCAGTTTAAAAAGATTTGAGTGTTTTCAGGTGGGATTTAAAAATGGAAAGTGAGTCAATGTGTCAAATATGACCAAAACATGGACAATTGCGTGGTATATTTTTGTTGTATATTAGTTTCTTTTCATAAAATTTACAGTTACAGTTGTATTCTAGGTGTATTAGAAGATATTCAGTGGCATTATGATTTAGAGGATGATGGTTTAGATGGTGTTAAATTATGATAAAAAGAGCCCCCACTACTTGTTTTGCTAACGCTCCCGTTTTTCATTGTCCTCTCCTGGCTTCCTCGTAATAATGTGTTAAATGTTACAGTTAGTAGAGTGGTGGAGGCTACACCATTGACAGACAAATTATTTCTGAAACAGTGTGGTATTTCTAGCGAACACTCCTGTGATTTCTCCCTAGTTCATCACTTCTAAATATTAACATTACTTACAGCAACTAGTGCTTCCTGTTTAAAAAGGCTTAAATTAGCCACAATGCTAATGCCATGTTATCAGTGGAGAAACGCTAATGTCATCATGAGTAATTAAACTATAGAGTTTAACGTATTCTAAATATATCTGCGAGCCACTTGTTTAATTATAGTCAGTGTGTCTGAAATGCTTAAAAACAGCCAGGTTTCCAGGAAAAATGCCTAAAATAAAATACCCAAAATGAATCAGGAATAAGTCCTCAACCATTTGGCCTAGATGCATAATTTTCATCTCCTTTGAAAGGTCAGAAGCTAAGGAATATTTATTTTACCATTAGGTACAGACTAAATGGAGATGCAATAAAGAAAAATATGATATTTTTCATCCTCGCATGGTAAAAAAGCTATATATTTAATGCAATAAACCATCAAAATCAGATAGATTATAATGCAACTGCATATCTTTTAATACACCTGGAATGCAATTGTAACTGTACATTTGATGAAAATAAACAATAAAATATAACAGTTATCATAAAACATTTTCAAAATATACCAGGCAATGTCCATAGTTTGGCAATATTTACTGTGTAAATGTTGACTTTTATTGGGAGTTATCTTTATGTCCATACAACCACGTTCCAAATTACATAAAGCTGAAATACTGATAAAAACAGTGAATATTCATCAACATTCCTGTGACCGAAAGCATGCTTTACAGGGGTCTGGAGACTTCTCAAGATTAAAGCGGAGCTACCGTGTGTAGCCCCCCCCCACACCGTGCACAAAAAACACGATTCGACTATCAGTGGACTATAGGCAGGACTTGACGATTCTGATTTGACTATGTAAATCCTTAGTCAGGGACAGCCCTAGTGAATAGCATGACTGCTAGCTTGCGCATGTGCTCTGCTAGTCTACTTGATAGAGTTTGTGTTTCACCGGGTTTCTGGAGTCTTGTCACATGATCAAATACAAACTTAAGATTGGGCAGTCATATACATATTACTCAGCAATCATCACTCTTTTGTTGGTGAAACTACTAGTTTGTGCTGGTTGTGCTATAGTTTTAACACAGCTGTACCGTAGTCCTGCTAGTGTTTACAGCTAACAGCTGATGAGAGTTATTCTGGGTCTGCTCCACTTCAGTGCCCAGGCAGGTTTCTACTGGGAGCTGAATTACCAATGAGGTAGTCTCCTCTCCAAAACAAATAGACACAGTCATCACACCTGTGGTGTGTTTACAGCTAACAGCTTATGTGTCCGGGTCCACAACGTAACTTTTCCTTTTTATTTACCAACAGAGCCGTGCTGTTGTTTCACAGCTCTTGATTGGTAAACAACCTGCAGTGTTTGAGAGCGATGTGCTCATATGTGTTTCTCTCTGTCTGCAGAATCTGGACCTGATGTGGCCCATTCTGCATCCAAACTGCTGCGTTTATATAATGTTTTTATTTCTTTGTTCTTTTTTCTCCTCTGGAGTTCTTTTAAGAACTTAGTGGTTTTATCCAGATTATTATTACATTTGTTAAAAGTGTGTTTTATTCATATAGTCAAGCTTATTCAATATATTCCCATCAAATCTGATGTTAGATATAGATATATAGAGGTTTTATTCACGGATAGTGACGTTAGGTTACTGTATGAATGAGCACTTTAA